CTACATAGCATTTGCGAAACTTCTTTTCTTTATAACTTTTTAATAAACAACGAGCGCCGGCTAAATCCTTCTGAGCGTTACTCAGGAGGGTAACCTTGACAACATATGTCAAGCCCAAGGTTATTGGAGGTGGGTGTGTTAATCTAAATAATTACCAAAAATAGTTCTTTACTTTATGTATACCTGCACGTCAGATATTTTCCCCGAGCATATTATTCAGCTTGTTTGGTAGTTTCTTTGTCGGAATCTATTTAGTAGACTGAAGAGAATTTACGTAAAAGAATCAAAATGTTCCGAACAGAGGTTCTTTTATACCTTTACAACTTATTTGTCTCGCATCATCACATCCCCGCTTCGTTTATATTTATAGTCTTCCTTCTGCGAGTTTTTAGATTCCAATTATCACCGTTTGAAATCGATCTTTGTTCAACAAAATTTTTCTGACATTTAAAACTCTGCAAACTTAAAAATTATTAAAGTCTCACAGTGGCACAAAATGTTATTTTTCTCAGTTACTTCGTTATTGTCGTTATCACAGTTGAAAGAAGCGATAACTGCTGTATAAGCGGTACATTTTTATGACGTAAAAGTTTTCATTAATCTTAGCCAAGTGTGTGAAAAGCTTCAGATGGACGTATGGATTACGAAAGCGGTAAGTGAATTTATGTAAGCAATGTACATAAAGAGTACCCTGGGACAGATAACGGGAAATCAATGAAGATCGACGACCTTAATCTCGGCTCCTTCTAAAAGTGTGCTGGGAATAATAGTATCGCGAAAGCTCACTGCTGACGTCAACCGCTGCTAGATAACGCAAGTTAGAAATGTTTGTGGAGCTTTCAAGTTCACTCTCTGTCGTGCTAACTTTCTTCATGTAATAGTTGAACTGTACTTGAAACGGACACGCAACAATCGTGCACATACATATATGTACGCCACACATAGACAAAAATTAAGATTAGTCTGACTTTAATATAATTGAGTCCTTTGAATCCCTTTGATTCTATTCACGTCGTTTAATTAAATTTTCCTTTTATTGCATATAAGCATTTATGTGCATATAAGCGTTATGCAACGCTTTCATGCGTATTTTTCAATCATTGAGACGTTTGTATTCTTAATAACGAGTGTAAATGAGTGAACATCTTTCATGGCTAATAGCGTAGATATTTGCTCGCTTCTTCTTATATTTCTGCCGACGTATTGCTAATCAATAAGTGCACTTTCATAAATGTGGCGAAACAGCATGGTACTTACAAAAGTATAATGTCACGCGTTAAGTTAATAGGGCGTCAACCACATTGGGGCGTATCATGCGATCGATGTTAATACTTCAATGTGAACACTCGAGCGTCGTCGAAAATATTGATTGAGTAAAGATTGGTTAATAAATATTGAATATATTTTTTTCACATTTGAAAGCATTCCAAGTATTAATCTAGCTATTAATTCAATACTGTAAAAAGCATATTAAAAAAAAATTAATTTATCTTAAATTTATTTAATTTATTTCAGATTTTAAATTGTGAATATCTCAAGCTTAAATATCTATAGATATTCAAAGAAACTTAAAAATTTGAGGAGACTTGTCAGTTTATTTCCAAAAGCGGATTAAAAAAGACGTCACAATTTTGTAAATAATTATCTTAATATATTAAGCAATGTATGTCATTTAATGGTAGTAGAGTTTAAATTATTACATTAGAGAAGAGAGAGAGAGAGAAAGAGGGGGGGGGGGCGCTTTGCTAATTTGTAAAATATTTTTTCAGCATGCCGTTACGTCTATGTAATATATCCCTTATCCTTTGTTTCATATTGTCACATTTACTGTTCATGTACAAAGGGTTTCCAGTTGATTGCACGGAATGTTATAACAGGTGGTTCGCGATGAAACATATCGAGTGGAACGCTTCAACGTGTGAAACGTTATATTTCCTGTCTTTTTAAAAGCCCCACTTATCGACTCTGAGAGTAGACTTAAAGTTCATCCGCTTATTAATTGCAAGGAGAAGCGAACTATCCTCACAACCTTGGAAAAAGATTCTACGAAAATGTAAAATAACCGCGGCGGGAACTATTAACCGTCCAGAAATTAAATCTCTGTCTACTCCAACGAACGAAATTATGAGTTAGAACATTAAAAAAATGTATAGAAACGAAACAGCTGGCATTTTCTGTAAGAAGAAGCAAGCCTTTCGTTGTTGATAAAAGAAAACACATCTTATAACTATAATTTTCCCTCTTCTTCTGTATCTTCTAGTGTATTCGCATAAAATTTATCGCATCTTGACTGATTATTAAGTATTCGCGTCGAAGATAGAATACATTCTCAGAAGTAAACGCCATTATTTTCGCATACGCAGGATAATATTGAATCGTACTCACCGACATTGCCGTCAGCCGCAATGACGGCGTGATGAAGGATACAGAGCACCAGCAGCTCCACCAAGCCTCCTTGCCACCACCGTTTACGGCCCATAGATGTTCCTACAATTGTGAATCCACTTTATGTCACTCTACCCATTCGCGTGTCTATAATCTCTATCTATTTCTCGCATCCGTAGAAAAATAAGACGCACGCCACGGCAGAGACAAATAAATAATATGCACAATGCATTAACATTCACATAATTTTACGTTTGTCATTATCTTGCGGTGACTTTCTTTTCATTCTGTTTTGTTATTGTTTTCAATAGTCTAATTTCCACTGACAATAAGCGCATCGAGCTTGTTGTATTTTGGAACGGAACGAATGTAGCAACCGGTTTAAACGAGAGGCAACAAAAGTCGCAAGTGAAGTAGGAATGGATTAAATTTTCCTTTCAGAACCACCTTTTGTACTGACATGTATATTGACATAATTTTTTGTGGCGTTAAACTGCAAAGTTGATATTATTTATTCTTACCGTTTTCCATCGACTTCAATTTGCTTCTAACGAAATAATTGTTACTCCAATTGAAGGAATATGACGCGGGATCCTACGCGGAAATCCGTATCCTTCGATAAGATAGAAGATTTATGTCTTTTAACTACTGCTACTCCCACGAAGGGGAAGGATTGAAGCAAGAGCGCATAACTAACAATAAGTTCAACTAGGTGAGTTTCCGCCGATTTCAATCTTGTTTCACCCCGAATTGAAACCAACTCAAACGTCCGGTGGAAACCAGTGATTAAAAAGTTCTTGCCGCTACCTCTATGACAAATGTTGCGTCAAACGCAAGGCTCTATTTCGCGAATTGAGTATTTAATACGGAAATACTTGAAATAGTTTCCGTTAGCAACAGTTTCTAGTTTAAGTACTTTCCTGAATGCATTGTTCTAGAGTGCAGTGCCCGCATTAGAATGTCAAGCCGAATAAAACCATACATTCAGCATAATTTACGCCACTTTCAATGAATCGGCTACAAGCAATACGCATTTGAGTTATTACTCTCAGAAAGAAAAAACTAAAAAAGACAAATGGAAAATCACTAATCTGCCCGTTGCAACAGCCTTGTATTTTATCTTTAGGTGTACATACATAGAAAAAAAAAATTCTATCCAATATATAACATAACAGATAAGCGTAACAGCATGAAAAGGGACGAAGCAGAAACTCGCAATATTTGATGTCGCCGACCTATTTTCACTCCAGACATCTGCTTGCTTCAAAGATGTCTTCTTTTCGCGATTGATTAGGCAAATATGTCTCATAGGCCCGGTTTCACCAACGTTGTTTAACTTCAAGCTTAGCTTAATTCGTTCTCTGTTTCTTTCGTCGTTTAACTTTAATCTTAGTTTTAATTCACGTTTGTCTCTTTTTAAAATAACAGTTGGAAAGAAACAATGTTGGTGAAACCGGACCTTACGGCTAGTTTCACCAACGTCAGTTAACTGTTAACCCGAGTCCAGTCGACTCCCTATCTTTTTCCGTCTTATTATTTAACAAGAGGCAGAGAATCAATTAACCTTCGGTTAGCAGTCAACCAACGTTTGTGAAATTGGCCCTTAAACAGGTTATGCTACACATGGTCACCCATCTTCAGAGACTACATCATCTGACTTTCCTTGTCTCCCAGATTATTCCCCCCCGATAGGAAAATATTTATAACATTATGTGACGAAGTATGGATGAAACTTGGGATGCTGGAATTATGCGAACATATTTCGAACAACGTATGCAGAAATGGAGACCTTTCATAAAATATTGGTAAACATTTGCACAACGCATTTCTAAGTAGTGTGCCAACAAAACAGCTGCGTTTTGGCGAATTATCTTGGCAAAACATTTGCACAATTTAATTGCTGTCGTGTTACGACGGGCTGCCGCTACGAGGCGTCTCATACTCGCAAGTAAAATTCACACGAGACGAGATACAAGCAGGTCCAGGCGGTAAACACGCTAAATCCTTTTTTAAACACTTATCGTACGTAACTGTGTTGCTGGGCAATTTTGCTTCTAAATGTCGAAATAATTGTGCACGATTTATCCCCTAAATTGAGATTAACAATTTTCGGGCAAATACCATTTAGAAAGTTTATTCTTACAAAACGGCGATTCGGTGAATCACTTTAATGCAATCAAAATGAAATGTCTTCCTTGTGGAAGATGCAATTACACAATATTTGAGACATTTTCCTATCGGGGTTGTCGAATATTACTGAAGCAAAGCATAATCAAGCGTGACTCTCACGACCTCTTAAATACGAGAATTTGCGGATCTTTCTCGGCAAAGTATCATCATCACCAATGGCAAGTAAGTGGAGTTTTTCATTCACACCTCCAAAACTCATTCATTCTTAGCATTGAATGTGCGATGTATCCAAATACAATGGGACATAAATAGCACACGGGCAAGGATGACCAATAAATTTTTATATATATTCCAATAGAGAATCCCTTTAACCGTGCATACACGCACAATCGTACAATTCCGTTAGGAAGGGCACGATCTAACAAGCCGTTCTCCGAAATTAATTGCAAACAAGTTCTTTAGACGCAAGAGAGAGAGAGAGAGAGAGCAGGAGTCTCCTGCGAACTTGCAAGATTAAAGAGGAAGAAAGAAAGGGAGCGAGCGAGGGATGTAGGGTGGAACGCGTATAAACGCAGATCCATTCTCACCTGGGCGTGACGCAACGTAGCCTCTTTCACACCCTGCGGCACATCGTGCGCATCACCACGGGAGACACCGTCGCCACTGTTCTGCTTTGCGAGAGAAGGTAACGATCACCACTTGGCGGTCCTGGCTGCGAGCTCCTGGACCATGTCCCCGTGAACGGCTGCCGGTTCCGCCGCAGCGATGGCACTGACTGGAAAGCGAGGGCAGACAGGATGATGAGGAGGAGGTACAACAGGCGGCGGCGACGACGCGCAGGGCGTGCGTCGTCGGATTTTGAAATCGATTGCGACGCGCCGCCGGGTACTGGGCCAACGAAGACGTAGAATGATAAAGCGAGAGAAAGAGAGGCCGGAGAGAAATAATGAAAGGGAAGGAGAGAGAACACCGTCGTCGACAACGATCAAGAGAAACAGCCTGCGAGAAAATAAATCACCGTCTCGAATCGACGGATGAAAGACGATTGCTGATGAACGAGGCGTAGCGTTACATCCTGTGCTAACGATGCAAGTTCAATTCCATCGTCAATTCCAGAGAGAACAACGTAGGGAGGAAGGGGGAAGAATGGAGCAGCCGGTGACGCGGCAAACATGGTCGACGACAAAGTAGCAAGTGGCTTTTCATTCTATCGTATTATTATTTCTCCCCCTCTAGATATGTATATATATAATATATATATATACAATATATATATATGTACATGTGTGTGTGGGTGTGTGTATCCCAACCGATTTCCCAAGGAAAAATAAAAGATAGCGTGTCAAAGCCGATACGATCATTGACGGGAAAAAACGAAGGACTCGTGAAACTTGTTCGCGTTGCGTCGTTGGAAAGGTTTCGCAGAGCGTGATATCGATTAGGGAACACTTGTTGCAGACGAGTGGAGAGCGCGAGGTAAATGGCTACGCTTTCCGGAAGAAGCGGAGCGCCGTCGCCGAGTGAAAGATTTATGCCATTTCTAACGGCAGCTGAGAAAGAGACAAAGACAAAGAGAGAGAGAGAGAGAGAGAGAGAGAGAACGAGAACGGAGTCATTAATGGCGATAACTGAAATGGCCCGATAAACGAGAAACAATTAGTGATCAATCGTCGCAAAAATGATTTCTCCCCGCATCGTTACGCCTTTTCAAACACTTTGAAAAAGACACGAATATTTCGGGCATTCGTGCTTTTTCCGTATTAGACTCTATGCTGAAGAAACATTTGTTTCACATGCCTCGTTTGTAGCGCTCGCTCTTGTACATACTCGTACGTGTACAATTAATTTCCCTTTTCCATTTTCGATCGCGATAAACTGCCCCTCCGTTGATCTTTTTAAATGCCGATGACAAGAGGGAAGGAGTGAAGCCACTACATGGCGGAATTCATTACTGATTCATTATCTGAATTTGCGTACAATCACCATTCGAATGTCACATTTGTGAAAAACAAATTTTTACTCAATTTTTCCACTATACGCACAAGAAAAAGAGCTGTATTTAATTTTTGTTTTGGTTAAAATATCTATGATGACAAATATGAAAAAGCGCAATGTATGTATTTTGTCAGTGCATACATTGTATCTGGGTTTTATTATACGTAAAATAGTGAAACCATTTTGAGACGTCGTTAAGGCAACAGGCAGGCAAACAGAATGCTGATTAGTACGAATTAGTATAAATATACGGCACATTTTTCAATTGGCATAAACTTGAAACTAGCGTAAATAATTCGCGGTCTGTCTAAAACTCTAAGCAAATCTGCAATAATATCTCTCTCAAATCTTACTGCATTCTTTTAGTTGTATATAATTAAGAACGAGCGATAATCCCTTGCTCGCTCTGTAACTTGATTCGAAGAATAGCTTTAAAAGATATTGCTTCTGAATACTTGTACACACAATTCTAGATAAAGCGTTTACTTTTTTTAGAAAATTCATTAGGCAATTAAAACGATTGAGACTGGTGGATCTTTTCTTCAAGCGTGATGCATCGAAGTCGATCCCTTATAGAAATGTAAGCGAAATAATTACTAGAAAATTACTGTACGTCAATAATTTCTAATAATTCAATTACTGGACTCTAGTAATCGTTCAGTGCTTTCTTCGCTCCCAGTTGTTACATTTCTGTAAGGGACGTATCGTGCAATCAAGATTATGGCCGGTATTCATAGTCAGATTTTATATTCAAGGCTACGGAGTATCTAACGATGATCCTAAGACGGTCTTGAATATAAGATCTGACTATGAATACCGGCCTATGCGTAATTTTTCTCAATAAAAAAGAGAATAGAGCCTCTTTTATCGCGTATACGTAAGCGTATACGCATATAAGATCACTTAATAAAGAATTCCTGTGAAACGCTCGACGAGTTTTGGCATATCGTATACGCCGGCATAGTTTCCGCGTACGATTGGTACAGAACTTGAAGTACTGGCACGTGTATCGAATCTAGATATTCGTGCATTATGATCGTTGATTATTCGAGAAATGGTAATATTTCAGAGCGTAGATCAACAAATAATTTAACAGAATATCGTGGAGAGGCGATAAACGTTAAGGAAGATTATTTGATGTATGTACCCAAGGAAAATAAAAATCAAGATGATGCCAGTTTGACCAGATTTGTCATATTTTGGTCAATATGACATCAAATCGACGTCATCTTGACTTTTCAATTTTCCTTGGGTGCATACATTTTAGACGATCGTCAATGCGCAAAAAAAATGTTATTGACTAAACCGTATAACGCGCGAGTGTACACTACATTGCGCTCAATTCGAAAAGATGGCGCAACCAGCCAGACTTGCTATCTCGTTTGCCACGTCTTTCCCGTTTAGGCCGGTTCTACATTGATCGTATCGTAGCGTCGCAAATCATAGACTCGACCAATCAGCGTTCGACTTAGAACCGGCGTAGGATCCTTGCGACACTGCGACGCGACCAATGTAGAACCGGCTTTACGGACATTGCCCTCGCTTAAAACGGCGACGTTCCCCTCGACCGTTTCCTTCCTTCGTGTCGCTGATGCCGACAAAAATTCTTCGCTCGCGAAAATCAGCGATTCTCACGTATTCCGCACAGTTAAGAAGCTATTAATTCGATGCCGATAACATTGCAGTTTCTACCGTTGGTTAGAATAAAAGTTTGAGAAACACTGTTACGTATCGCCGTACGGTTGCCAACAATGACGATGCTTAAGACCTCAAATTTACGTCGATAACACCGTGCCATTCCGTGCACGTATTCTGCCGTAAATTATTGCCTGGAATAGAACCCTCTCCGTGTTTATCGACACTTGAATATTTTCTGAGGCGCAATTTAAATCACATTACGTTAGGTTCTCGCTACAGCACGCACTAGATCTACTCTTCTTGATACAGAACGGTCGTCAGGCCTCTTGGTCTAGGGGTATGATTCCTGCTTTGGGTGCAGGAGGTCCCGGGTTCAAATCCCGGAGGGGCCCGATATTTTTTTTAACCGCGCCTCATTTTTATTCGCCAATACAAAATGCACACGGAAAAGAGAAAGCCATTGAGGAGCAGAAAAGTTTCGCTTGCAATTTTACATTTCCCCAACGTTTCCGCTACTTTTACAATCCGGTTGCCGTAGCAGCGCAGTGCATTGGCCAATCATTGTTGGTTGAACATTGGCCCCGATACAACGAAATATTGGGCCAATGTTTAACCAATGCACTGTGCTACTAGGGTGTAATCTATAATCAAGTATCGCGATTCATTGGATTTGCAAGCTGTTGGAAAACTTTTGAAATCACGAGTCTTTCTCTCGTTTCTTCTTTGGGATACTATGTATAGTTGAGTCTTCCCGATAAAAAATTGTTCATGCATAAGCACGTATAAATACATCGAATTATGTGAAATTGTGCACACGTGTATCGAAAGGTTAGAGGGCGGGCAAGTTTGCGCACACTTTCTTAAGATTGTATTTTTCAAACGCGATAATCCCTTTAGGTTGCCAGTAGTGAATAGCAATGGATCAGTTTAGTCGACCTTAACTGGCACTCGTTTAATAAATTAAAAGTAAAAAATATAACGTGCGACGTTTCGACCACGGCGTTGGGTCGAGCACAAATTCTAAAAGGGAACAAACCAATAATCGGAGTTAAACGTTTATCGTAGATACAAATGAAATTACAAGTAAAAATCAAAACTAATCGCACAAAAGTAACAGTGTAAAATGAGACGCGACACAATTATCACGTGTACAATAAAAGATATGGTTTGTGAAGCGGATACGTAAATATATGATAACACGTCTCGACACTGAATCTTCGACCAGTCCACTTACCTTAAAAGTTAATCGAGTCATTGTACTTTTCGACGTCTGGAAACATTCTGAAACCAATCGGCATCGAAAACTCGGAAAAACCGTGTCCATACACGTTTTTACATCGCGCATTTCTACGCAAGTCCTTATAATATAATTTATTCAACTTGGCGAAGTCTTCCCTTTAAAAATGTCTCCGTGTTTTCAATTTTTCCAAGTTTCTCAGCGGCATAATAAAGCGGCCCGTGGCGCAATAACGTGAAATGAGACCTGGCGTTCAAGCTACAACTAGCAACGTTTCGCTTTTGCGAGACAGCACCCCCGGCCAGCGCCGGCCGACGGCACAGCTGACGACAGCTGACAAGACAAACGGCTGATCCGCCCGGCTCTGACAATTGACAGCGTGACAATGCGACCGCGCGCAGCTGACCGCGGCCCGCGACAGCGCGACAACAACGGCGCGCGCCGCAGGCGGCATCGGGCGGCGTCGGGCGGCACCAAGGCCCGGAGACCGCTGGCGGCACCAGGCGGCGCCGCGGAGGGCGCAGGCTCCGAGCTCCTCGATGGTCTGGCAAAAACACAGCTGGTCCGCAATCCCCGAAGCGAGTTGACGTTCGAACGGCTATCAATGTGATTACCAGCGTATTCCCACCGACTTGCCGGAGCCGAGCGCCGAGGCTCGCTCGCGAGCGCGCGGCAAGCTCTGCGATCCGGGGCCCGTCGACCCGCGGCAGTCCCGCAGTGAACGGTGCGAGTGCGTTCGCCCGATGTAGCGTGGGGAAAACCAACGCGCGTGTCACCACGAGGATCCCTCGCCTGGCCTGGCCCCGGGGACACGAAGGAGAGTATCCCGCCGCTGGTCCACACCGTGAGTAGTCGGTCCACTCGTGTCGCCCACGTAGACGGCGGCTACGCTGTTCCTCCTAACCTCCTCCCTTCCCCCCTCCCCCTCCCCTCCCGCCCCCGGAACGAAATTTCCTCCTAACCTTTTGTTCGGGCCGGACCTGCCCGCGAGATTCGGGTCGCGTGACGCGAGAGATACCGTTTCTCGAGTCCGCTCCGCGGCTCCTCGCCTCGCGACCGCTCCGCGACGCGTCCGCGACGCGCCGAAAATCCCCCTCCCCCCCCCCCGAGGATCGGAACGGCACGCGGCCCGCGATCCACGCTAAAAGCGTTTCACACCGTCGAGCCTCTGCGACGCGCAAATCTCTCCCTCCGCCCCCGCCGT